ATGGTATTTTTATTTTGCTACTTCATGTCCTTCTAAGTAAAAATTAAAATTTTAGATTAGTATCACATTTAGCATTCATCTTTACATTATGTGATGTCCTTTTTTCCACTGTTTTAAATTGAAGTCTAGTTGACACACGTTACATTAGTTTCAGGTGTACAACATAGTGATTCAGCTTCTGCATACATTATGCTGTGCTCACCACCAGCGTAGCTACCGTCTGTCGCCGTACAACCTTGTTACAGCACCACTGACTCTACTCCCTATGCTGTGCCTTTCATCCCTGTGATTTATTCATTCCATAACTGGAAACCTATGTGTCCCACTCCCCTTCACCCATCTTGCCCATCCCCCATCCCCTTCAATGTATGTTTTCAAGGCCAGTATAAAAGTATTAGTAAACTTATGTGCAGAATAGTGAAATTACACAATTTATATTTTGTTTCTCAGACATGCATGTGGATTTGGTTCTTACCAGGACAGTGGAAGTGCCAGACCAAACGAAGTAAAAAACTTGAAAAGAGGAGGAACTTTGGGTTTCCATCTTTCCCTTTCTTTCTATGTTATCATATTTTGCAAACATGGTTGGCTAATTCAGGGAAGTACATGAGTAAGGATACGATAGGGTTCTTTAGTCATTTGTTAAATAACTAACATTATTTTGTATTAAAAACTTTTTAATGTTTATTTATTTTTGAGAGAGACAGAAAGAGTGGAGCAGGGGAGGGGCAGAGAGAGGCAGACACAGAATCTGAAGCAGGCTCCAGGGTCTGAGCTGTCAGCACAGAGCCCATCGTGGGGCTGGAACTCACAAATCGTGAGATCGTGACCTGGACTGAGGCCAGACACTTGACCGACTGAGTCACCCAGGTGCCCCAACATTATTTATATTTATAGCACCATTACTTTCTTTCTGCATTCAAATCAAGTTCTGGTTCAAGCAGAAAGCAAGTCCTCTCAGGACTCCGTGTGCCTGTTGCCCTCTGCTATAGATGGAACTCACTTACCTTGTCTTTACCTTGAGTACCACTGAACTCCCCGACATCATGGGGAATCCATGGTAATTCTGTGCTCATGGGACGTCAAGAATGTTCCATGCAAATGGAACAACAAGGAAGAGTAGATACTCTTATTATACCTATCTTTACTTACACACGTGCTCCCATTAATGTAGTGTAAAAATCCAATATAAAGATAAAATTATTAAAAATCTCAGAAGGCAACAGCAGAGCATTAAACAGGTGTGGCGTGACTATACAGCCCTTGTGTTCCTTTTGTTTCTTAAAGACTTTATTTTTAAGTAATTTCTACACTCAACATGGAGCTCAAACTTACCACCCCATATGCTCTACCAACTGAGCCAGCCAGGCTCCCCCATCTCTTAACACTCTTAAAGCAGGCTCCTTGCTCTGTTCAGCCTGGGGAAGGACGGTTTGCTTGTACCACACACCCTTCTGACGTGCTCACTATTGTTCTCACCACACAGTCTCCATCTTTGGCCAGGAGAGCATTAATAGTTGTTTATGGAGTTACCCATCCTCAAAGATCAGGAAAGAGAACTGTCCTTTTCTTCATTCATTCAGCACATAGGTATTGATCGCCTACTGTTTGCAAAGCACAAACTCCTGGTGTTTAATTGTCCAATTTGATCTCAATAGAAATGGAGTTAATAATTGATCATGAGGAAGTGTCCATAAAACCTCAATAGTAGGGGTTTGGAAGGCTTCCGTATTAGTGAATACCTCTGTGTATTGGGAGGATCAAGCACTTGGAGCCCTCCCCAACCTTATCCTATGTATATCTTCATCTGGCTGCTCATGTGCGTCCTTTATCATGTGTGAATAAAGTGGTAAATGTATATATTTCCTTAATTTCTGTAAGCTGTCCTAGCAAATAATCCAATCCACAGGAGAGGAAGTCATGGGAACCTCTGATTTTTTTAAAAAAGGATTTATTTTCAGGGCTCCTGGGTGGCATAGTCAGTTGAACGACTGACTCTTGATCTCAGCTTCGGTCAAGGTCTCATGGTTTGTGGGTTTGAGCCCCATGACGGGCTCTGTTCTGGTGGTGTGGAGCCTGCTTGGAATTCTGTCTCTCCTTCTCTCTACCCCTCCACTGCTGTGCTCTCTCTCTCTTAAAATAAACAAAACAAAACAAAGTAAAATAAAATAAGATAAAAGACTTTATTTTTTTAAGTAATCTCTATATCCAGGATGGGGCTTGAACTCACAACCCGAGATCGAGAGTCACACGTTTCACTGACTTAGCCAACCAGGTGCCCCAGGAACCTCTGATTTTAGCCAAGTGGAATAGAAGTTGTGGGTAACCTGGAGACCTACTACTTGAAATTGGCATCTAAAAGGGGAGACAGTCCGTTGGGACTGAGCCCTTAACCTGATCTGATCCCATCTCCAGGTAGATGTCAGCATTGAGTTCATTTGTAGAACACCAAGCTGGTGTCACAGAATTGCTTGATGTGGGAAAAAAAATTTGCACATCTGGTGTCAGACGTGTTGTGAGTGTGGTAGTTGTGTGAGAATAAAGGGGAAACACAGTACTGAGGGTTTTCACTATACACATATTTTTAACATACTTTCTCCTTTTTAATGGCTACTAGTTAGTGACATATTCCTAGGAAAACAATATTAAATATGAAGCTTCAATCTTCAGTGTTTTACAAGCTCTAGAAGGTGAGAAATACTAATAATAGCATAATTTACACCATGTTGGGGAGCCTGTTCTCTTACTTATCTCTGTAGTCCTATCCTGTGAATCCTTTGCGATGCCACTTCATTTATTACCCTGACACCTTCCAAGGCCAACCATCTTTCTTTCCTTCCCTCCTTTCTTCCTTCCTTAAATTCCACTGGAGTTCGGCAAGTGATTTGTGCCAAGACAACTGATTCGATTCATATTTTTTCTGGTTGGTTATCAGGTCAGATAAAGCCAGATAAACATAGGTCAAAAACTTGTTCTGTTTCACCGTCTCTTTGATCATTAAGGTTAATGTTGTATATGAGTATTTATTTATCTGTCAATATGTATTGATGACGTAGGCCAGGTGGTAAAATAGTAGTGGGCAATGGAAACATGGCTCCTGCTTTCATAGCACTTACAATCTAGTGGGGAAAAAATGAATATATTAGTTAACAAATAAGGTATTTTCATCTAAAGTTAACTGCCATTGGGGGTGCCTGGGTGGCTCAGTTGGTTAAGCGTCTGATATCGGCTCCCCTCATGATCTCCTGGTTCGTGGGTTTGAGCCCCACATTGGGTTCTGTGCTAACAGTTCAGAGCCTAGAGCCTGTTCCAGATTCTCTGTCTCCCTCTCTCTCTCTCTGCCTCTCCTCTGTTCATGCTCTGTCTCTCTCTGTCTCAAAAATAAATAAAAATTAAAAAAAAAGTTAACTGCCATTGGAAAAAAAATAAAAAACATGGTGTAACGGAGAGTGATTTGGGGAGCTAATTTGGAATGAGGGTCAGCTAATCCTTTCAGAGGAGGTGACAATTGCATTGAGACCTAAGCTAGACCTTCTCAAACTATAATTTGCATATGAATCACATGGTCATTTTGTGAAAGTGCAGATTATGATTTGATAGGTGAGGGGTTGAATCAGCTTCTGCATTTCTTTTTTTTTTTTTTTTTAGCTTCTGCATTTCTTATAAGGTCCCAGGTGATCCCTATGGTGCTGGTTCATGGAACACTTGTGGGCAAGAAAGGCCAATGAGAAGACTCTAAAGAGACCTCCAAAGAGAACAGCAATTGCATAGATCCTGCAGTGAGAAAAAGGTTGATGTTTGGGTGAGAGAAATACCGTTTTATAGAGGCTAGGAGTGGTGAGTAAAGAGTGAGGAATATGGAGTAAGTTCAAAGAAGTAAGCCAAATCACACAGGGCCTTCTAGGCCAGAAGGTTTCATTTTCTTTCATGGTGGTGGAAGACATTGGAAGATGTCAAGGGGATGAAGGGTAACATGGTCAGATTAAAGCTCTTGAAGATCAACCTGACAGCTCCGGGAATAATGAATTTTAGGGGAGCAAGAGTGGAAGGAGAAGAGATTTTTAGGAAACCAGAGTGGTACTCTTTTTTTTTTTAATTTTTTATATTAAGTTTTATTTATTTCTGAGAGAGATAGAGCGTGAGCAGGGGAGGGTCAGAGAGAGAGGGAGACACAGAATCGGAAGCAGGCTCCAGGCTCCGAGCTGGCTGTCAGCACAGAGCCCGACGCGGGGCTCGAGCCCACGAACCCTGAGATCATGACCTGAGCGGAAGTCGGACATTTAACCGACTGAGCCACCCAGGCGCCCCCAGAATGGGACTCCTTATGTGAGATGTTGGCGGCTTGGACCAGGACAGCAGCAGTGGAGAGCGAGAGCCGCGGACGGCTTGGGTGGTGGTCTCGTAGCAGCCGCAAGAGCAGCACGAGTGCATGGATGAGCTACAGAGGGGGTAGGAAAGCGAAATTAAGGGTGTCAGCTGGCTGCGCTTTGATCGTTGAATAGCAGGTGACACCAGGTCCTGAGATATAAAACCAAAGCAAAAACCGAAAAAACACAAAACGTATCTTTTTGGTAAATGGAAGAGGGAATATCATCTAGAGTGACTCTTACTTCTAAAGCCTCTGTTTGTATGTGTGCTGGTGCAAATTTCATTTAGAATCTGACATTAGGGGCGCCCGGGTGGCTCAGTCGGTTAAGTGTCCGACTTCGGCTCAGGTCATGATCTCGCGGTTCGTGGGTTCGAGCCCCACGTCGGGCTCTGTGCTGACAGCTCAGAGCCTGGAGCCTGCTTCAGATTCTGTGTCTCCCTCTCTCTCTGACCTTCCCTTGCTCATGCTCTCTCTCTTTCTCTCAGAAATAAGTAAGTAATAAGAAATAAGTAAAACATTAAAAAAAATAGAATCTGGCATTAGAATCAAGGTAGAAAAGCAAATGCATCTGAGAATTCCTTGATTAATTAATTTAATTAATTAATTAGAAAGCCATGCAGGGGGCTCTCTCACAAATCTACCCTCTCTCTCCGTCTCACAAAGGAAAAGAAGAAAGATCATCAATGACAGATGACTTTTGCAGAAACAAATTTAGGGCCAGTTTCACTCCGGGAGAGAAGGGGGCCTCTCTTCCCCATGGTTTCCAGTGCTCTGCATGTTCATAGAAACTTTTCTAGTAACAAACTATAGAAATGATGCCTGGAAGTAGAGTCTTGCGTCCGTGAGTTTAGAATCATTTGGTAGTGTATCATTAAAAAAAAAAAAAAAAGAGTAGCAGCGCTACCCTGATGAGTGATGGAAGTTTTCTGGCAAACAATGTTTTGCATTATAATGTAAGTTAAGTAGATTTTTTTGCCTGAGCCTGGAATTTTCCAATGGAAGTTGATTTCTTAGAACGGGGATGGATGGAAAGTTAGGGTATTTCTAAAGACCCACCAGTAAAATAGCAGTGTGTTACCCTCGGAGATTTCTCCTGTTAGATTCCCATGACTAATTTCTGTCATTGGAAAGAGTATAAGAAAAAGTTACATTTGAGCCTCTTTTGACACATTTTTCTGGTACTGATAATATGCTCATATTTCCTGCTGGAAGAAAGGTTAAGATCTGAATGATTATTCAAATCTTTTTTTTTTATCCTTTCAAAGTTTCTTTTGTCACTGTCAAGGTTAAGTGAAGTCAGTACTGAATTCAGGAAAGAGCAGAAGGAATTTGGAATGCTTTTCCATAAACCCCAGTGACCTATCCCATGAGAATCCCCAGTAGGTCTCAGGGTTTTTAGGATAAATCATTTTGGGGCAATGTTTTCTTCCTTTGCTGTTAGGTTGACCAGGCAAAATAAATAATAGTGTTTGTGTCGACCTTTGTTCTAGAACAATTTCTCAAAGCAGGTTATAGGATCCCGGGGAATTTCTACCTGAATGATACAAAATTGCATTTTCACCACCCAATACTGCACATAGCAGATACTCAGTAGATGTTAATTGAATTACATTGAATTCTGAGAATCTTCTAGAAATCTTAGATCGGTTCCTTTCATCTTGCAGATAGAGAGCTGCAAGCCAAGGGGGACAAGTTGAGAGTCCAACCCCTGGGCAAAAGGACACATGTGGGTTAGGAATCTCACTATTTCCTTTGAAACTGAAGATATCAGTTTCTTAAGGACACTTTATAGATCAAGGCCCTGAAGCCATAAACATTCCATTTGCCATTATATTGCCAATTCTACAGGCAAGCTTCGAAGTTTTTTTCTTTACGGCTGTGCTGGATAAGCAAAGAGCCTCCCCACCCCCGCTCCATCTGGGGAGAGACTTGGGGATCAACAAATTCTAGCGCAGGAAATAAACAAACATTCTCAACAAACAGGGACCTTTGTAATGAAATGGATCCAGGAAGGAAACGGAAACAACTTTACCACAATAATGCTAACATTGCCATCATAGGGCCAGGTGAAAAACACACCAATGGCTGAAAAATACTTTGCCTCCGTGTTAGTGGCTGGCATTCTCCTTGGCAGATGACTAATACTGACCGCCAGGAGACATATGTCCTTAGGTAATCCGGGGGAAACCTGGTCTCTACTGGCAGCCTTCACTGCCTAAGAGGGAAAGGCGCTGAAGGTACACACTGAGTTTCACTGCAGGACCAGCCCATGCTCCTCCTACTTGAGAGCAAGCAGCAGGCTGGGCAGAGGAAATCTTCCATTAATATCCAGCTGAAACCCAAGGCATTAATTTTTGTGCCTAAGAAGAGGCGGCGACAACTTGGGACCGCTTCCTCTGGTGGGGAGTGGGGCAGCTTTCTGTGGCTAAGGGATGGGGATGTTACCTAGGAAGCTTAAATTTTGTGTGTTTTTTTTTTTTTAATGTTTTATTTATTTCAGAGAGAGAGAAAGAGGCAGCATGAGTAGGGGAGGGTCAGAGAGAGAGGGAGACACAGAATCAGAAGCAGGCTCGAGGCTCTGAGCTGGCTGTCAGCACAGAGTCCGACATGGGGCTCGAACCCACGAACCGTGAGATCATGACCTGAGCTGAAGTCAGACGCTTAACCAACTGAGCCACCCAGGTGCCCCTGTTACCTAGGAAGCTTAGAGACAGTGTGTAAGGAGGGTGACAAAGGCCTGGGCAGAGAGAAGTAGAGAACAGCTGGAACATCCATTTGGTATTAGCTCCTGAAGGCTCCATGTGAGCCCTCGTCCTGGCTGCTCACATCCACCTTTTCCCACAAGGTCACAGGGAGCAGGTTACTAAGACAGGGTATCACTATCCGTGCTACTAGGAGTGACTTTGCAAGGCTTACCCAACTTTTTGGGTTACTCCTTTGTCAGTGTTCAGGGGTGTTTAGGCTCAGGAGATTGGGCATGGTTGTATTTAGGAAACACAACAAACTTGCTGATCACTTGGTGGGCCTGGGTAGGCATGGGTCTAAGAGGGGACACAGTCCAGACTCTCTCCCATCACTAAGATAAAGAGGAATTTACAGGCCAGCAGATGACCCTGCTCTCCCAAATTGTGTGAGACAAGATGCCAACTTTGCCTTGAGCTCCCCCTTTGAGTGCTAGCAAAGTCCATGCAAATGGTTGTAGGACAGGAGTGGGGGGTGGGTGGAGGGGCGGAGGGGGTTCCTGGAACACCTGGTTCACGTGACATTTCATTGTTATCGCAGGTGGTGGGCACATTCTGGCACTGAATAATCCTTCCACAAAGGCTGATTAAATGCCTATAGATGGCAGAATCCAAGCTTAGTTCTGGGGGAATTAATTCTTTCTTGGTCTCTGACCTTAAAAATCTCATAATCTACTGAGGAAGATAACCAGGATGGAACCATTTGTTTCACCTCAATTTGATGGAAGAGGAGACTGTGAACTGAGTCCAGTTAGTCTACCTAAGAGATGGGAGGGAACTGAGCAGGTGCAGCCCTAAGAAGCATGAACTAGGGGAGAGAGGCGGAGTCTCAGAGACATTCTGCAGGAATTCCAAATGGCTACGGTAGGCAACTGAACCCAGTGGGAAAAGGGGCAGAGTGTGGGGGACAGAAGCTTGTGGGCTCCCATTACATAATTCTGACCTCATGTACTTAGAGAAACTAAAGTTGAAGTTTAAAGGTCAGTGTTGTCCAAGTCAAAGGAACCACTGAGACAATCCTCTGACGAGCTTCTGTCATTCATCGCTCCACATGGTTCTAGTTGATTGAACTGACCGGCGAAGTGTTTTAAATTCGGGGGCTTTCTGTGTGAGTCCAAGGCAACCCCAGCTTGGAATTCCATTTCAAGGGGGTCAGGGCTGCTCCTACCTGTCTGTCCCTAGACTGTCATGACCAAAGACAGCATCCCTGGGATAAGGGCAGCTTCAGGTGTGGCCTCAGGAATTTGGTATTTATCCTGCGTCATGAGCAAGGCTGTTGTTTTGCCCCTTTGGACAAGTATGTGTGTGTGTGTGTTGGAGACTGTAGATTCTGGCCTTCCTAGAAAGGGTGGGGCGGAGGACTCACCTCAGGGAAGGGAAGGAAACAAAGAACATGGACAGAGAAACTTGTCCAACACTAACAGCAGATACACTGTTTTCCTCCTGCAAAAATGAAACAAACGTCAAGATGAGGAAGATACACGTTGAGTAGGACAGTGAAGTACGTGCTTCAGAATCAGATTGGATGAATCCCCCTAACTCTGGGGCCCCAGGCTGGTTACCCAGGCTGTCTCAACTCTTAGCAAAAAACCTGGCACATAGTAAGTGCTTAGTAAATATTAGCTTCTACTATTCTAAGTCATTTGGAGCAGGAAAGGGAAATCAGGACTATTTTTCTAAACCTGAACAGGAAGTTAAGAAAACATAGCTCTCAAAACAGCACTAGAATTTAACTCCAAAAGTACACGCAACAAAAGAAAAAATAGATAAATTGGACAACACCAAAATTAACAACTCTGTGCTTCAAAAGACATCATCGACAAAGTAAAATGACACCCCCCCCCCACATAGCGGGAGATAAGTTTTGCAAACCCTATATATAATAAGAGACTTATATCTAAAATATATAAAGGACCCCTACAATTCAATCATAAAAACCACATAACTTAATTTTTCAAAACGATCAGTGGACCTGAATGGACATTTCTTTGACAAGGACATGCTAGTGACAAATAAGCACAAGGAGGTGCTTGGTATCTTTAGCAATCAGAAAAATGCAAACTACAAGTACAAGGAGATAGTACCTCACCTACTTTAGGCTGGCTGTAACAAAAATGATACATACCAAGTGTTGGCAAGAGGGTGAGGAAATGGAAACATTGCCCACCACTTGTAGAAATGTAAAATGGCACAGCCACCTTGAAAAACAGCCTGGTGGTTCCTGACAAGGTGAAGCATAGAGTTACCATATGACTCATAGAACAATTCTACTTCTAAGCATATATACCCAAGAAAAATGAAAATTGTGTGCACACAAAAAGTTACACATGGACATTCATAGCTATATTATACGTAAGAGCCAAGAAGTCCCCAAACAACCTAAATGTATGTGAGCTGGTGAATGGGTAAAGAAAATGTCGTCTATCCACACAGTGAAGTATCACTTGGCAATAAAAAGAAATGGGGGTGCCTGAGTGGCTCAGTCAGTTAAGCGTCCAACTTCAGCTGAGGTCATGATCTCATAGTTCGTGAGTTCGAGCCCCATAGTGGGCTCTCTGCTGTCAGAGCAGAGCCCGCTTTGGATCCTGTGTCCCCTTCTCCTCTCTCTCTCTGCCCCTGCCCACTTGCACTCTCTTTCTCTCAAAAATAAATAAATATTAAAATAAAATGAAAATAAACTAAGGACTGGTATACACTGCAACGTGACGTGCCTTGAGAACATTATGCTTAGTGAAAGAAGCCAAACATAAAAAGTCCATAATTCTATTTGTGTGAAATGTCCAGGATAGGTAAATTTAGAGAGACAGAAATTAGATGAGTGGTTACCAGGGGCTCAGGTTGTTTGTGGAGGAATGAAGGGAGAATGATAATGAACATGGAGATTCTTTTCAGGAGATGAAAATGTTCTAAAATCAATTATTTTGATGGTTGCGTAACTCTGTAAATATACCAAAATCCACTGATTTATACACTAAATGGGTGAACTGTATGATGTGAATTATATCTTCATAAAACTAAAAAAACAAAAAAAAACAAAAAAACAAAACCCAAAACACAGTACTAGAAGAATGAGGTATTAGTGTATTAAGAATAT